GAGAAAAATAGCTGTATAGGAAAATGGAGTTAGTTAAACTACAAGCTCCCAAAAGATTTTTCTTCTTTGTCTTTAATGGTTAAGCTCATTTGTGAATACCCAGGTCCACTGTTCCGATCGCCGGAACCGTTTGTTTCCTTTGTTTTCCGGCAGCGGATCCTATAGATTTCGTTGGTTTTCGGTCGGCTCCGTTGACTTCCGACGATTTCTTGACTACAGGATTCCGGTCCAGTTTCCGCCGGAAAAATTCCGTTAAGTTCCTCAAAATTTCGACCAGGAATTCGTCAGAAATCGACGGGACCGATGGAAACTGATCGGAACTGGTCCGAAGAAATCTGGACCGGAATCCTGTAGTAAAGAAATCGTCGGAATTCAACGGAACCGATCGGTTCCGACGTACCGAGCTTGACCTGAGTACTTCTATGTTCCAGTAAAGTCGATTGAAAATTCGTCGTTCGAGAATCGAACCCAAATAAAGCCAAATGTGTCATGTGTTTCTTCAGGTGCATGTTTTTTGACATAAGTTGTGAGTTTTCGCTGAAGCATTTTAGCTTTATGCTTAACTTCTTGGAGAAGATCTTAAAACGAATTTTGAGTCTATTCTAAATTGAAAACATTTCATCGCCTATATGTCTGCTTAGGAAATACTTCGATAATATCGAAAACATATGCTTTTTAGATGTCACTAGACTACTACCACTAATCTATTCCATGATGACTCATCCATTGTGTTGTCAGCCATAATTTGATCAATCAACAACGAATATTGCATTATAATGCTGACTAAAGTCATCTATATAAATCTTTTTTCTGCTACATTATTTCCGTCCATCAACTCAATACTAAAAATGAGTTCGTCGCAGACGAGTAGTGCTTGTTCATCTAATGAACCATCATCGATTCATTCAGCATCGATTGAAGAAATATATGATATTCCAATGAAAGATATAAATCGTCCATTACCATCTGTACTTGATGAGAATAAAGTTCAATCTCTAATGGAAACTATTCAAGTGATAATTACTAATTTAATATTTTGTTTCCTAGAATTGTACAATCGTTTTAGACAATGGAATCTAATCGAGTTCCTCCTATTGATGTTCTTTGGTATGAAGCAACTAATTCAGGAA